GTGCCAAGGAGAACTGCGGTTTAGGGTTAGGGTTTAGGGTTTTGGGTTTTGGGTTTTGGGTTCAGGGTTCAGGGTTCAGGGTTCAGGGTTCAGGGTTCAGGGTTCAGGGTTTAGGGTTTTAGGGTTTTAGGGTTTAGGCTTTATGGAGTATATTAAGGGTTCAAGTCCGGGGAAGTTTCGAGGAAAGTTTCGAGGAGTTTCAAGGAGTTTATGTTTTTGATTTTCTGTATAATTTCAGGTTACAGGGGGCTTGAGGTTTTAGGGTTTCAGGGTTTCAGGGTTTCAGGGCTTCAGGGTTTCAGGGTTTCAGGGTTTCAGGGTTTAGGGTTTCCAGGGTTTCAGGGTTTCAGGCCTTCAGGGTAGTAGGGTTTCAGAAATTTAGGCCTTCAGGGTTTTAAGGCTTCAGGGTTTTTTGGGGTGTCAGGTTTTAGGGGTTCAGGGGATTAAGGCTTCCGGCTGTTGAGGTTTCAGGGTGTTGGGGTTTTGAGACTTTACGAGGGTTTAGGGTTTAGGGGTTAGGGGTTAGGGGTTTTGAATTTACGGTTTAGGGTTTAGGGCACCGCGTTCTTGGGGGCTTTTGGGGGTTTGGGGGCTCAAGTTGAGCCCTAAACCCTAAACCCTAAACCCTAAACCCTAAGCCCTAAGCCCTAAGCCCTAAGCCCTAAGCCCTAAGCCCTAAGCCCTGATGTCCTTATTCCTGAACCCCCCCAACCCAACACTCCGAGCCTTTAGTCCCTGTCGTCTGCTTCGGGTTGTTTGCTGCCCCAGGTTAAGGGTTCAGGGTTCAGGGTTTAGGGTGTAGGGTTTAGGGTTTCGGGTTTAGGGTTTGGGGTTTAGGTTTTAGGGTTTAGGGTTTAGGGTTTAGGGTTTAGGGTTCGAGGAGCATCTGCTCTTTCGCTTGGTGCGGCGGTTCGAGTCCTTTCGTGACGAGGGGCACGCCTTGCACAGCAGGCTGGGTGCAGGGTAAACCCTAAACCCTAAACCCTAAACCCTAAACCCTAGGCCTGAGGCATGTTGGGACAGGGTTGAGGGACTGTCCATACAGTCTCTGAATCTAAATTTGTGCTTTATTATTCTACTGTGACTATGTACATTGATTACATTAGTATTCCACATGTAGAATTCTGTTGTGGGGTGGAGCGGGGGGGTTCGCTAAGTCTGGGGTCTGGTAACTGGCATCTCGCCCCAACCAGCGCAGTACTCGCAGCCTGGAAAAGCAGCAACAGCTCAGGGTTCGCCTAGGCCGTAACCCCCAAAATCCTAGGTAGGATAAGGGGGGGAGCCTTAAAAGGGAACCCCTTCTGAACCCTCTTGTGGCTCTCTTAAGCAGGGACCTTTTTCAGAGGGTCTTTATCCCCAAGGGTCCCCCTAATCCTATCCCCTACAAAACCCGACACCTCGACCTTAAATGAAGACCTAGTGCAAGATGACTACCGATGGCAGGACATTGCAGACCTCCATCGAAACCATTTGAAAATTGTACTTCATCATCGTAGGTACCACTAAACCCTTACGCAGAAACAAAAAACTGAAGTCCTATCGATCGCTCTCGGAACCCCAAAAAGGTTCGGCGACCTCCTTCGAAATGCGCGGTGTTTTTTGCTAGGCGGCCCCCTTATCCTAAACCCTCAACCCTAAACCCTAAACCCTAAACCTTAAACCCCAACCTGAACCTCCTGACCCTAGGCCTCAAGTTCCTTACGGGCTACGAGGATGGAAGGCAGCGAGTAACCCTAAACCCTACTAAGAACAAGGTTTAGGGTTTAGGGTTTAGGGTTTAGGGTTTAGGGTTTAGGGTTTAGGGTTTAGGGTTTAGGGTTTAGGGTTTAGGGTTTAGGGTTTAGGGTTTAGGGTTTAGCGCAAACAGGTTCGAGAAGCAGAACCTCGCGGCCGTGAAGAAGAGCCTGTCTGCTCTTCGCCTGTGGCTGCACCGCAGGGAGGCAGCACGGGGGGGTGCAAAACCCTAAGCCGCAAGGTTGGTAGGGTTTAGGGTTTAGGGTCTAGGGCTTAGGGCTGAGGGCTCAGGGTTTAGGGTTTAGGGTGAGCAGGGTTTAGGGTTTAGGGTCTCTTAGGGTTGGCCGTGACTTTTTGTTGGCCTAAACCCTAGACCTTATTCGCTAACCCTAAGCCCTAGACCCTATACCCTCAACCCCAAACCCCTAAACCGTCTGAGATTCAGATGTCGCAAAACAATCCGAAGGGTTTGAGATCGGTTCATGCGCCCCATCAGCAGCATGCCCATCTTCCGAGAGTTTAGGCCTAGAACCTACCGATGGATGCCATTTTGACACAGGCCTGGGTTCAGGATAAGTGCCACTGTATTAGCCCTTCTGTCAGAGCTTGCATTGTCACGGTCCTCTCCGTCTTGATGACAACCTAGAAATGCGGATGCGCTGAGCGTGCTGTGCTGTTTCCCGAACCCGAAATGACTGGACAGTTTCATCGACATCCCAAACAAGTCGTTCAAAGGCTGTAACCCACCAACAACACCTGCCAACATGTGACAACCCGCCATACGCATGCCCAGCCGAAGAACGAGGCCGTCCAAACCTAAAGGCCCTGGCAGTTTCACTGTTTAGGGTTTAGGGCTTAGGGCTTAGGGTTTAGGGTTTAGGGTTTAGGGGTACGAGATCTTAAGCTGAGCTGCGGCTGAATCACCGTATCTCAGTGTCCTTTGTACCCGTTTTGGGTCCTGAGCTCCTCTTCAGGATGTTTGGGAATGAGTTTTATTTTTTGTGTACTACAATTCTAAGAAACAGCTAAACTTACAATTTTTGCTTGGGTTCCAAGATCTGTATAGTCCTTTCAGTTTAGACCCTGAAAATCTATGCATACCCCAAGCCCTATACCCTATACTACCCTATACCCTAAACCCCGGCCGGGTAGGCCCTTGGGATATTTTATATTTTCCCTTCTTGGGTGTAAGAGGAGTACATGTAGCAATGTTTTCACAGGGTTTTGAGGGCCATGCTAGCTACATTCTACAGTGCTAAAGGACCCAAGCCTCGGCATGTTACTAGCAGTCCTTAATGGGGACTATGCTGGGGGGGGGGGGGGTTAAGGACTGTTAGTAGAAGGGGGAACATCCCAATTCTACAGGGCTAAGAGCCCTAAACCCTTAACCCTAAAGCCTAAACCGCTCATTCAAATCTCGAAGCCCTGAGCCGCGAGCGCAAGGTAGGTGCCGCCTGGCAAGTATCCCATCTTGGTGTGGAGGAGGGCCACTAGGCTATCATTAGGGTTTATGGTTTAGGGTTATCTCCTTTGGATTTAAGATTTAGGGCTTTTGTTGGGAGGAGGTTTCTGGGTAGGACCTTGGGATAGTTTATATTTTCCCTTCCTGAGTTTAGGATATTCTTCAGCGGGAGTTAGGGCAATCCTATTTTTTGGGTTTTGGGGGGTTCTCTAGACACCTACTAAAGAGTTCCTAGTTTTCAGTAGACTCACTTTCAGGGGGTTCTTGAACCTAAACCCCAAACATTGTCCTAAACCCTAAACCCTTAAACCTAAACCCTTGTTGACTTTAAGAACTGCAGGCGAGGCGAGCCCACCGAGCATGTCCGGCGCGCTCGCGGCAGCGGAGCGACTATGTGAGCTCCTGACAGCTGTGGCCCAGGAGGTGTGGGATTTGGGGTTTGGGGTTTCGGGTTTAGGGCTAGGGTTTAGGGTTTAGGGTTTAGGGTTTAGGGCTTAGGGCTTAGGGTTTAGAGCTTAGGGCTTAGGGCTTAGGGCTTAGGGCTTAGGGCTTAGGGCTTGGGGTTTGGGGTTTGGGGTTTGGGGTTTGGGGTCTAGGGGGGCCGAAGAAACTTCTGCTCTCATTGCCAAATTGCTGGATGCGCTGCAGAGTAGGGTCCAATGATCGCCCGACGCCCTAACTCCTACGCCCTAGAACCTCGTCGCCAAGCCCTGAACCCCAAACCCTCCTAAACCCTAAACCCTAAATCCTAAACCCTAAACCCTAAATCTCAAACCTCTGAAGCCTTGGCTTGGCTCCCAAAAAGCGCCACCCAAAACGCGCCCTGCCAGGTTTCGCAGTGGAAGTCGGGGCTGGAGTCTTGCCGATACCTGCTCCCTGGATGTCCCTGTGGTGCCCTTTTGGGTTTAGGGTTTAGGGTTTACGGTTTACTGTTTACGGTTTACGGTTCACGGTTTGGGGTTTAGGGTTTAGGGTTTAGGGTTTAGGGTTTAGGGTTTAGGGTTTAGGGTTTCGGGGCTGCCTTGTCAAGCAACCAACTTCCCAAAAAGGTACTTGACAGAAAATGGTTTCTGGGCTCCAAATGCCATGGATGCCCGGTAGATGGGCCCTATTTGTTTTCCTTTGTCCAAGGGCCTAAAGCTCCTAGGGTTTGCGGTCCCTAAGCCCTAAATCCTACACGTTGTTTCATTGAGGCTTAGGGTTTGTCAACAACCCAACCCTAAACCCCACATTACAAACCCCAAAACCGTAAGCCCTAAACCCTACGCCCTAAACCCTAAGCCCTAAACGCTAAGCCCTAAACCCTAAGCCCTAAACGCTAAGCCCTAAACCCTAAACCCTAAACCCTAAACCCTAACCCCTAAACCCTAAACCCTAAACCCCATAGGCTGACTAGGCAGCCCAGGCCCACCAGCGCTACCAAGCTGCCAGAGGCCCCGCGAGCCGTGCCAGCGCAGGTTGCCGAGCCATGCCGCAAGTTTAGGGTTTAGGGTTTAGGGTTTAGGGTTTAGGGTTTAGGGTTTAGGGGTTAGGGGTTAGGGGTTAGGGGTTAGGGTTCAGGGCTTAGGCTTTAGGGTCAAAAAGCCGTGAGGTTTTCGAGGTTTGTGGCTTTGTGGTTGGTTTTGTATGTGGTTGAGAATGTTGTTGGGCTATTGGGCAGGCTTTTTTTTTTCTTTTGGGGGGGGGGGGGGGGGGGGTGTCGCTTGCAGTGCTTGAAGTCCTGGCAGCTATTTGGCTTACCAGGCTCTGCGCAAGCTCTGCGCAAGCACGCAGGTTTGTGGAGCACCAGCCTGTTGCGACAAGCATGGCAATACCTTTTTGGCTCCCGGCGGCTTTGCAGTTCTTTTCCTGTGCTGCGGTGAGCTGTGTTCTCAGGTTCAACCTTGTGTACTGGCATCTTGGGATTTTAGGGAACAATATTTCATGCTTGGGTACTATAATTCCTAAGAAGTTCCTAAAATGATGAGCTTTGCTATGGCTCCAAGATCAGTATAGGCATCATTTGGGCTATCATGGCGTGTGGGCGGCAGCGCTGAGTGTGGCGAGCTTAACGGGGCTGTTCTGTGGATCTCTGTTCTGGGGAGCCGTGGCTGACTATGTCGGAAACATCAAAGGGGTGCTTTCGGTGGCTTGGTAGCTGAGTGAGTACACTTTACACTTCTTGGGCTACTATAACCCCCGACAGAACTGAAAGTGTGTACTTTTTTTCTCAGCAACTGAGGTGGCCCATGCCCTCGCCATGATCTGCGTGCCATTCAACGTGATGCCTTCCATCGCAAGCTCTTATCCACTCCTTGCGTGTCTCACCGTGCTGGTCTCCTTCCTGCTGGCAGCGGATACCGGATTGGTAGACACAATCTGCTTAGCCGCTGCGGACGCGCAGGGTGACTATGGAGACTTGGGTAGCCCAGTGGTACCCTTTTTCCTTTTTTTTGGGGGCTTCAAGGTTCCCTTATAAATTAACCAAAACCAAAAAAGGGTGCCCTTAATCTGTTAGGGCTACTGGGGTACCAAGGAGAGATGCGCTCCTGGAGTTGCATCGGCTGTGGGCTGATTTGCGTCGTGGTGGGAGCCGGCCTTGCCCTCACGGGCCCATGGATGCTTGGTAAACCCTAAACCCTAAACCCTAAACCCTAAACCCTAAACCCTAAAGCCTAAACCCTAAACCCTAAACCCTAAACCCTAAACCCTTACTGGGCTACCAAGGATGATCTACTCCACCTTTGTGGTGCTGCAAGTCCCTTTGTTGATCATGCTTCTCTTCTTCTTGCCGAGCCCGCGTTTGAGCAGCTTAGTCGCTGAATGAGTACACTTCACACCTTTTTTGGGATACGAGAATCTACAGAACTGAAAGTGTACACTTTTGTGGGGCTCATGAACTCAGCAACTAAGGCAGAGAAGTGGCCCAGAAGAGAGAAGTGAAGATCATGGAGTGCCTCACGGGGAATAAAACCTCCATCTCGGAGGTCTTCTTGTACCTGGGACCCTCTTTACCTACATCTTTATATGGGTTGCTACCTACTAGTTCATGAAGGGTAGTAAACCCGAAACCTTAAACCCGAAACCCTACACCCTAAACCCTAGGAAACTGTAGGTAAGTAGAGCCCCAGGTATGGGCTGTGCCTGTCCCTGATCGAGATTTTCGGGCCGGTTTATTACATCAAGTTCCTTGGTCATAGTTGGGTGACATTCTACATGTTTAAGGGTTTAGGGTTTGGGTTTTAGGTTTTAGGGTTTAGGGTTTAGGGTTTAGGGATTAGGGTTTCGGGTTTAGGGAATAAAAAGAACTAGGTTCCTGGGCACCTCCAGCTTCACGTTCGGTGCCGCGGTGCTGATCATGTGCTTGGCAGAGACTTGGCTAGAGGGTTTAGGGTTTAGGGTTTAGGGTTTAGGGTGAGGGTTTAGGGTTTAGGGTTTAGGGTAATCCGAGCATCTGTTTAATGGTCCCCCCCCCCCACCGCAATAAGGAAGGCAGGGTTCCGCAATAATTGGACCATGGCCCTGCATTGATTCTCTATTAAAAACAATAGGCTGTAGATCCCTGAGGTGCTGTAGCTTCGCATCTCCGCAAGCAAAACAAGAAGCCTGCCGACAGATTTTTGAACCCCCCCCAAAATAAGTTCTTTAAATGTAGTCTTCCGGCGGGCTTCCGGCCGAAAAACAATTCTTTAAATGTGGGGGTATTAATTAAACAGATGCTCGGATTAGAAAGATTGTCCAGGCACCTGCGCAGGAACGACCACCAAACCCCCATGCTGCCGCCATCAGGGGGGGAGGGGGGAGGGGGGGCGGGGAGAACGGGGGGAGGGCGGGGAGGGAGAGGGGAGAATGGGGGGAGGGAGCGGGGAGAGAGAGGGGGAGAGAGGGGGGTAACGTGGGACCCCTAAACCCTAAACCCTAAACTCTAAACCCTAAACCCTAAACCCCTAAACCCTAAACCCTAAACCCACCTTTCAAAGAAATCGATAACGTGAAGGAGATCGTCGTCTTCCGGTTCATCGCGCGTGCTCTTCGGGATCTTCACGCCTCGTGGGCGTGGGTCCGCGACGCATGCTACGCCTCTCACCCTGCGGTTCTGGCTCGCGTACGTGTTTGCAGGAACCCTAAACCCGAAACCCTAAACCCTAAACCCTAAACCCTCACCCTAAACCCTAAACCCACTATACGTCCGAGACGTCTTATGACCTTCAGCGCTTTAGTGACCCAAATATAAGTCCCTGGAACGAGCCTGTACGCGTTAGGGTTTAAGGTGTAGGGTTTAGGGTTTAGGGTTTTTAGGGTTTGGGGTTTAGGGTTTAAGGTTTTGGGTTTAGAGTTTAGGGTTTAGGGTTTAGGGTTTTGGGGCTTCAGGACGCTATACCCTAAACCCTACACTCTGCACACCAAAACCCTAAACCCTACAAAGGGCCAATGGTTTTCTAACTTTTGAGCCCCCTTCTTGGAGTCGAGCCCACTACCAGTTCAGCCTCTAGACCCTCAACCAGCCTGACCTGCCAACCTTGTAGGGTTTAGGGTTTAGGGTTTGGGGTTTGGGGTTTGGGGTTTGGGGTTTAGGGTTTAGGGTTTAGGGTTTAGGGTTCAGGGGCTAAGCATGCACAGCCAAACCCTAAGCCTACGCCCTAGAGACCCCCTGAACCCCAAGCAGCTGGAGCTCTGGGACGAACACAAGGATCTAAACCCTAAACCCTAAACCCTAAACCCTAAACCCTAAACCCTAAACCCTAAACCCTAAACCCTAAACCCTAAACCCTAAACCCTAAACCCTAAACCCTAAACCCTAAACCCTAAACCCTAAACCCTAAACCCTAAACCCTAAACCCTAAACCCTAAACCCTAAACCCTAAACCCTAAACCCTAAACCCTAAACCCTAAACCCTAAACCCTAAACCCTAAACCCTAAACCCTAAACCCTAAACCCTAAACCCTAAACCCTAGACCCTAAACCCTAAACCCTAAACCCTAAGGCTCTGCTGGCGCTGCGCTGCCTTGGATACTGCCTCGTGCCTGCGTCCATGCCCTGGGCAGCCCTGGCTTTGGAAGCTTTGGTAGCCTAAACCCTAAACCCTAAACCCTTGTACCCTTTTTTGTTGGTCCTGGGCTCCCTTGTTAAAGGAACCAACCCAAAAGAGGGTGCCCTTATCATAACTATGGGGCTTTACGAAAATAGGGGGACCCCTAAAATAGACCCCAAAATAGTAGGATCGCCTCATAACAAATACCCCAATAAGGTACCCCTAAAATCGTAAACCCCCATATGGCCCCCTAAACCCTATACCCTAAACCCGAAACCCTAAAACCCTAAACCCTAAACCCTAAACGACCAAGGAAGTGCTCCATGGCTTCAACTTCGCAGCCATGTGGTACATCACCGTAAAGAGGGCCGACACTTGGGTGCTGAGTTGGCAACCTTTACCCTTTTGGGGTACTGTAAGCCTAAACCCTAAACCCTAAACCCTAAACCCTAAACCCTAAACCCTAAACCCTAAACCCTAAACCCTAAACCCTAAACCCTCTTGTTTCCCCTCTAAAGAGCTCAGCCACCAAGGACACCCTGGCACCTCCGGGCGCCCAGGCCACGATGCAACTCGGTTTAGGGTTTAGGGTTTAGGGTTTAGGTTTTAGCGTGTAGGGTTTAGTCAGCCAAGGCAATCTCTCACAAGTGGAACCTACTTCTTCTTGTCGATGGGCGTGGGCTCAATGGTGTCTTGCTGTTGGTTTAGGGTTTAGGGTGTAAGGTTTAGGGTTTAGGGTTTAGGGTTAGGGTTTAGTCTAGGGTCTAGGGTTTAGGGTTTAGGGTTCGGGTTTAGGGTTTAGGGTTAGTAGGGAATGAGGGAATGAGGGTACCCTTATGTCCCCCCATATATACCCTTCAAGGGATCATGGCTTATTTCAGGCAATGGCCTCTTTATGAAGGGGTAACTGTCAAAATGGCCCGTAACAGAAACAGATTTGGGAAGAGATTCCGTAAATATTTTTAGGGTTCAGGAAATTGGGACCCGCGCAGGCCCGTGACAGAAACAGATTTGGGAAGAGATTCCGTAAATATTTTCAGGGTTCAGGGTTTAGGAACCCGGCCAAAGCTGAAAGAGGCCACCTGCCACAACCACCCCCCAAGCGCATGTTTGAGTAGGGGCCAAAGCTGAAAGAGGCCACCTGCCACAAGTGGTCTTTCGCCCAAAGTCCTGTACCTAAAGAGGACACCCCCCCTGAATGTCCAAAGCACATGTTTGAGTAGGGGGGGCCAAAGCTGAAAGAGGCCACCTGCCACAAGTGGGCTTTCGCCCACAGTCCTGTACCTAAAGAGGCCACCCCCCCTGAATGTCCCAAGCACATGTTTGAGTAGGGGGGGCCAAAGCTGAAAGAGGCCACCTGCCACAAGTGGGCTTTCGCCCACAGTCCTGTAACTAAAGAGGCCACCCCCCCTGGCCTCTTTATGAAGGGGTGACTGTCAAAATGGCCCGTAACAGTAACAGATTTGGGAAGAGATTTGGGAAGAGATTCCGTAAATATGTTGTTTTTGAGTGTGGACATTGAAGAGGGCTGGCCTCTGTAGTTACAGGGCTTTGGGCAAAACCCAGCTGTGGCGGGTGGCCTCTTTCAGTTTTGGCCCCTTTTGTTCAAATACATGTTTTGGACATTCAAGGGGGGTGGCCTGTTTAGCTACATGACTTTGGGCGAAAGCCCAGTTGTGGCGGGTGGCCTCTTTCAGCTTTGGCCCCTTTTGCTCAAATATGTGTTTTGGACATTGAGGCCGGGCAACACATTTCCTAAAGTAGTTAGTGTCGTTTTGGTGACCAGAGCCGGGCGACACATTTCCTACAGTAGTTAGTTGTTTTAGTGGCCAAAACCGGGCGACACATTTCCTAAACTAGTTAGTCGTTTCTGTGGCCAAAGCCGGGCGACACATTTCCTAAAGTAGTTAGTCGTTTTAGTGGCCAAAACCGGGCGACACAATTCCTAAAGTAGTTAATCGTTTTAGTGGCCAAAGCCGGGCGACACATTTCCTACAGTAGTTAGTGTCGTGTTAGTGACCAAAGCCGGGCGACACTTTTTTCCTAAATTAGTTAGTAGTTTTTGAGACCAAAACCGGGCGACACATTTCCTAACTAGTTCGTCGTTTTAGTGACCAAAACCGGGCGACACATGTCCTAAAGTAGTTAGTCGTTTTGGTGACCAAAACCGGGCGTCACATGTCCTAAAGTAGTTAGTCGCTTTAGTGACCAAAGCCGGGCGACACATTTCCTAAAGTAGTTAGTCGTTTTAGTTTTTGCCGGGGCGCAATCATACATAGGCCGTGCAAGAAACTCAAGTTGGGGGTTTAGGGTTTTGGGGTTTCACAGGGTTCGGGCCAAAGCCCGACACAAAACACCCTAACCCCCAAAACCATAAGGGTTTCGGATTTAGGTTTAGTTTAGGGTTTAGGCTGGGTGTTTTAGGGTTTGGCTTTAGGGTTTTGAAGATTAGGGTTGTATTCATTTCAGAGGCCATGAAAGAGGAGGCCCTGGAACAGTTCTAGTCTGTTCCGGGTACCGTCAAAATGTGCAAAACAACATGCCCTGGAACAGTTCTAGTCTGTTCCGGAGCAGAAAACCAGGCCCCGGAACAGTTCCAGAACAGTTCCGGAACAGTTCCGCTTTGTTTCGGGATTTTGCCCCAAAAACGTACGCCCTGGAACTGTTCTAGTTTGTTCTGGAGCATATGAAAACAAGGTTGTTTTTTTCTTATTATCTTCTGTTGCTTTTTATATATTTTTCATATTTGTTATGCTGTTATTTTGTGATATATACATATATATATATATATATGTACATATTTCATTGTTATATTGCTATATTGTTATCTTGTTGTATTGGTATCTTGTTATCTTGTTATTTTGTTATATTGCTATATTGTTATATTGCTGTATTGTGTTTTTACTGTCATAGTATTCTATTCTTCATAAATCATAAAATGACATTATTCATAACGTGGACATTTTCCTCAGGGGACAAAGAGTCTCTAAAGGAGTTCCAAGGTCTATAAGTCTATAGCTTATATAGGCTATAGGCCTATCCTGCCTCTCCATTCGGGATGACGGAAGCCCTCTCCGGCGCGCTTTTGGCTCACGAAAGTGCGCTGGGGAGGGTTTTCGTGGCTCAGGGACAGAGGGGATCCAAAAGGAGTTCTATAGTCTAAGTGTCTATAGCCTATATTGGCTACAGGCTATCGGTCCATACTGCCTCTCCTTTCGGGATGACGAAAACCCTCTCCGGCGCACTTTTGGCTCACGAAAGTGCGCCGGAGAGGGTTTTTGTGGCTCAGGGGACAGAGGGGATCCAAGTTCTATAGTCTATGGCTATAGGTCTATCCTGCCTCTCCCATTTTGGATGACGATAAAAACCCTCTCCGGCGCACTTTTGGCTCACGAAAGTGCGCCGGGGAGGGTTTTCGTGGCTCAGGGACAGAGGGGATCCAAGTTCTACAGTCTATGGCTATAGGTCTATCCTGCCTCTCCATTTTGGATGACGATGAAAACCCTCTCCGGCGCACTTTTGGCTCACGAAAGTGCGCCGGGGAGGGTTTTTGTGGCTCAGGGGACAGAGGGGATCCAGGTTCTATAGTCTATGGCTATAGGTCTATCCTGCCTCTCCATTTTGGATTGCCACTGACACACCAAAGATGCTATTGCCTCGTTTCGGCCTAATGATTGCCACTCACACACCAAAGAGGCCATTGCCTCGTTTCGGCCCAGTGATTGCCACTCACACACCACAGAGGCCATCGCCTCGTTTCGGCCCAATGGTTGCCACTCACGTAGCAAAGAGGCCATTGCCTCGTTTCGGCCCAATGATTGCCACTCACGCACCAAAGAGGCCATTGCCTCGTTTCGGCCCAATGAACTCACAGGTACAATTTACAGGATTTGCGACGTGATTTGCTACATGCCCCGTTCCATTTACAGGATTTGCGACGTGATTTGCTACATGCCCCGTTTCATTTGCAGGATTTGCGCCGTGATTTCCTACATGCCTTTTCCCCTCCCATGCCCCCAGATATGTAGCTGACAGTCAAAGAGGCCATTGCCTGAAATAAATCATGGTGTCTTAGGGACTTTTGGGTGAACATTTTTAAACTCTTGGGTACTATAGGGTTTAGATTTTTAATTTTTTGGGTACTATATATCTACGAAACAGCAAGAATTTACTAGTTTTGCTGGGGTTGCAAGATCAGTATAGGTGTGGGGCCATTGCCTCGAAGCTCCGCCAAGTGGCATCGGGTGGCAGAGGAGCTGTATTTTAGGGTTTAGGGTGTAGGGTTTAGGGTTTAGGATTTAGGGTTTAGGGTTTAGGGTTTCGGGTTCTGCGCCTGAGGAGCTTTCAGCTCTGCTCCTTCCTGACGATTGCAGCGCTCGCATGGAATCGATGCGCCAAGACGCCGCAGCCCATTGACGCGCCGCGCGCCGACGTGCCTTCCGACGACTTGCCTCTGGTAGAACCTCCCGAACAAACCCCAAACCCTAAACCCTAAAACCCTAAACCCTAAACCCGAAGCCCTAAACTCGGCTCTTAGTAGCACCTTCTCCCTGCTGCCGACTGACCTCCCCTCAAGCGGGAGACTGGCAGTAGCATCTTCTTGCACGGCTGTGCACTCGGGTGCACCTCCCTGTACAGTAGCCCTAAACCCTAGACCCTAAACCCTAAACCCTGGACCCTAAACCCTAAACCCCAGAACCTAAGCCCTAAACTCTAGTAGACCTGTTTTACAACAATTTTCTAAAACCCTAAACCCTAAACCCTAAACCCTAAACCCTAAACCCTAAACCCTAAACCCTAAACCCTAAACCCTAAACAACCTTCACCCGAAGTCGAACTTGTACGCCCAACACACAGAGACCACCAGAAGATGGCACAGCAGGCTTGTCGAAACGTAGGGTCAATGTGCCGCAACCCCCTACCCAAGTATTTCGGTTGACCAAACCCCAAACCTCTGGAGCCCTAAATCCTAAACCCTAACCCCTAAACCCTAAACCCTAAACTGCTTCAGAAGCTCCCCTGCAAGCCCCTTCGAAAAGCTGATAAGACAAGTCAAACGCTGCAACTGAGCCTTTAGCAACAGAAGCTTCGGCAAGCTTGCGGTCCGTCTGGCCGTACTCCTGTGTGAGCTCACCAGAGCTCTATAAGAGATGTCTCACATCTGACGGCATTTTCCAAGCCTGCAAAGATGGCGAAAGGCCATCCCAACTGAATGTTTTATGGTGGGGGGGAAGCGTGATCTCTGATCCTTTCAAATAAAATCCAATACCGCCCCAGTGTCAAAAAGGCTGTGACACTTGCCTGGGCTCTGCATTCCGGGATGCGCAGAAGCGATCTACCAGAGGCTCCCTTGCAGGTGCCATGTATACTTCCTTTCATACTTTCCCATACTATCATTTAGGGTCGCTAGACAGCTTCGCTTCTTTGGGTTGTGGGTCGGCATACGTGGAGAAGGGATGAATCGGGATTCAGCTAAGACATATACAGTATAATGTAGTATGACGCGCACACATACATGTATACAGATATATATATATATATATATATACATATATAAATTCATTGATTTACTAATTTACATATTTATGATAGACGGTATTTAGAACACTGCGATCATGCTTATACATGCACACATACTGATCTGCTAGTCTGTCGTGAGTATGTATGAAGCTGTTTACGGGTGAAGCGCGAACATTTTGCAGTAGTTAATATCGCCCTTGGAGGTTCAACCCTAAACCATAAACCCTAAACCCTAAACCCTAAACCCTAAACCCTTCATGGGCCCTGAATGTGGTCCCTCAGCGCCTGTAAACGGTTCTGATTTATGGGCCCTTAACTTGTTTAGGGTCTATAAGGGTTGTATAAGGGGTCCCCCTTTAAGGGCCCATACTACGGGGGACCATGTAGCTACCCTTAGAGCAACGTAAGGCGCACACCGAGCTGCTGCTGGTCATCTGCGCCAAGCGGAACCTGATGCCCACCTGAGCATGAGAGTCCGGGCCGTATGTGTCACATGATCGTGGTACCTACCGCTGGCGAAAATGCAAGGAGTTGCGGCACACACATGAGCTGAAGCTAAGACACAAGATTCTGGGTAAAGAGCTTACGTAGTTTTTTGTGGGCTCTCTAATTCAGCTTGGCTGATGTAAGGCAGGGGTACACACACACAGAGGCTTGTGGCTTGAAATTAAAGCGAGTTTAAGAGTTTCTGGCAAGTGTAGGGTTTCGGGTGTCGGGTGTCGGGTTTAGGGAAGTTACATGGTCCTTAACCCCAACTAGTAGGATGCCCTTATAAGAAGGATCCCAAAAAGGTACCCGGTAACTTCGGAAACCCCCAAATAAGATTTTGCCCAACCCTAAACCCTAACCCTAAACCCTAAACCCTAAATCCTAAACCCTAAACGTCCTAAACCTTAAACTTAAATTCATGTAAGGAGCATATAAAGGGGCTTCCCAAGTAAGGGCCCAGACTAAGGGATCATGCCGCCACCCTCAGAGCCGGTGGTTCGGGGTCTGGGGATTATGACTGTGAGAAGCCAAGAATAATAGTCATCATTATAATTCCTTAAACCCTAAACCCTAAACCCTAAACCCTAAACCCTAAACCCTAAACCCTAAACCCTAAACCCTAAACCCTAAACCCTAAACCCTAAACCGTGACTGTGAGAAGCCAGATATGCCAAGGCAGTTGGGGTTTGGGCTTTGGGCTTTGGGCTTTGACCCTAAACCCTAAACCCTAAAACCCAAACCCTAAACCCTAAACCCTAAACCCTAAACTGTGGGCTTTGGGCTTTGGGCTTTGGGCTTTGGGCTTTGGGGTCGTAGCAGGAAAGAGGGCGGAATGGCCCTCGCAAAAACGCTACCTTGTCCTTGCTGTCTGGCTTGTGCAGCATGCCTGCCGCTAAACCGCAAATTCAGGTTTTTAGGGCTTAGGGCTTAGGGTTTAGGGTTTAGGGCTTAGGGTTTAGGCTTTAGGGTTTAGGGTTTAGGGTTTTAGGGTTTACGGAAAACATCGTTTTGAGTCGTGGTGCAGCTGGAAGGTGCTCAAGCAGCTCGGGTAGCCCATGGGATGGCGGCTGTAGGCTTCCTGCTTGCAGCCCTCCTACCGTGCGCACCTAGGATGCCCAGTAGTACCCTTATTCCCTTTTTGGGGGGTTTAGGTTCCCTTATAAACCCCTTTAGGCAAAAAAGGGGCACCCTTTTTAAGCCTAGGTTACTGGGCAGCCTAGGCACATGCCGAAGGAAAGACATGTCTTGCACCTGAGCACGAGGAGTTGCCCTTCGTGCAGATTCTTGCCAGCCCAGTGGTGCCCTTCTGCCTTTTTTTGGGTTTGGGGTTTGGGGTTTAGGGTTCACAATTCCCCTTGCAAAGTAACCAACCTAAAAACGGGTACCCTTACGAACATGTGGTCACTGGGATACCAAGGATTCCTAGCCTTCGCAAGTTCAATCGCAGCACCATCGGCGTTCTCAGTACCTCCGGCGTTTGCTCTTCACCAGGCGATGTGGCTGCAGAAAAGCGTCTCGAACAGTCCTTGTTTGAGCAGCCGTCACGCTACGGCATTCAGTCCGATTTGGAGGATGCCTTTGAATATGTGACGGGCGAGGTCCAGACGGAATATCAAAAGGTCGAGGATGACGACAGCGGCACAATAGACACCGGAGGAAAGACTAGCTGGTTGCAGAGATTGATCAAGGTCGGAGAATGTGTCACCGAGATCGCTGTTGGCGAGATTCCTGCCTTGGCAGAGAAGGGGCTCGGAAGGTTCATCTCCGGTGGAAGCATGGCTACGGTGCTTGGTTACCTCTGGCCTTCGAGCTCCAGCGGGCAGTACGATATTTGGGCACTGCTGCTCAGCAATGTGGAGGAGCTTGTGCACCTTGGCTCTGTGAAGCCGGTTTTACATTGTGATTGTACTGCCCATAACTTCAACTCTAATTCCCTTCCCCGAATATTACACCTACCCGCGCCCCTCCCCCCCACCCGAATATAAATTCTCTCATGATAGTTATATTGGCGTATATCGGGGGGAATTAATATTGGGGGGGGGGGTTGAGGGGGGGGTAAATATTGGGGGGAGGGGATTAGTCGATTAGTCTATAGTGGGGCAATATTTAGGGAGCGTTTAGTTCGTCCCCATGCAAGGAATGTGTCAATCCTGAACTATGAGCTGCATGAGAGGGAGGGAGACTTCCTGTCTGTGCGCCGCTACCTCACCCGCTACAGCCGGGAGTCCACAACAACAGAAGCTTTCTTAGCCAATAGTTGAGCTTTAAACCTTTTGGGCTTCCTTATTTAGTAGGAGTAAGAGAATTGAACCTTTTTTCCTTAGTCATAGGAGAAGTAAGGAGAGGGGGAACGACCTGTCCGTGGCCCTTGCAAAGGTGGAAGACATCATGACCCACCTCACCGTCTCTACCAACAAGTGCCTGAAACCCTATGCACGTACAGTTTTGCCGTGATATTGCCAAACCTTGAACCCTTTAAACCCTGAACCCTACTAAACTCACGCCCTCAAGCTGTAGGAAAGAAACGTTGCTAACCCCTACACCCTAAACCCTACACCCTAAACACTGCACCCTAAACCCCAAACCCTACGCCTCTCAGGTACGAGCTGCTGCCCATGACCATTGTGACGGCTACCCTGCACTGCGCCATCCTCCGTGAGCGGGTCAACCACGGCAACTTACCGGGTGTAGGGTTTAGGGTTTAGGGTTTAGGGTTTAGGGTTTAGGGTTTAGGGCTGTGGAATCAGGCACCTGAGATTCCTATATGACCCTCTAGGGGAGTATACACCCTAAGCCCTCTACGCCCCCCTGAAGTCCCTTGCTCAGAACCCTAAACCCTAAACCCTAATAAACCCTAAACCCTAAACCCTAAACCCTAAACCCTAAACCCTAAACCCTAAATCCTAAACCGCTAAGGCAAGCGGCTCTTCGGTGCTGTGGATCCCAGCTGGCTCTATGCATTGCAGTCGAGCGTGGCGTACTACCAGAAGCTGGGTTTGTCCTTTAGAGGGTTCCTAAGGGAGGCGGGGTTCAAAGGATGGGTATGTAACCCAAGGTTCCCTAAAACTCCCTACTACTCCCTAAGGCTCCCTAAGCTTCCCTAAGGGTCCCTACGCATCTGGGCTTATCTTTCTAGGATGCGCACGAGTGCCCTTATTACCTTTAAGGGGAGCTTAGCCTCCCTTTAAAACTTAAAACCCCTTGTTCAGCAAATAGCAGGGGCACCCTTCATGAATCCTAGGTTACTGGGCAACCTGGCCTTAAGGGGCTTAAGTTGAGCCATGATAGTAAGAGTATCTACATATTGCATATACGGAGAAGTAAATAGATCTACAGTTCTACACGCAGTAATCGAAAGCCTGAACCCCCCTGAGTTTTTTTTGCACCAGCCAGGTTTAGGGTTTGGGGTTTGGGGTTTGGGGTTTAGGGTTTGGGGTTTAGGGTTTAGGGTTAGGGTTTAGGGTTTAGGGTTTAGGGTTTAGGGTTTAGGGTTTAGGGTTTAGGGTTTAGGTTTAGGGTTTAGGGTTTAGGGTTTAGGGTTTAGGGTTTAGGGTTTAGGGTTTAGGGTTTAGGGTTTTTAGGGTTTAGGGTCTAGGGTTTACGGTTTAGGGTTTAGGGTTTAGGGTTTAGGGTTTGAGGTTTAAGGTTTAGGGCTTAGGGTTTCAGGAGTTTCTTCAACTATACCTTCCCTCTCTGGCGAGACTGGCGGCGCGGTTTGATTAAAACAACGGTGCTGGAAGGAAGCCGGCGCCGGCGCCAGTATCTGGGCCTCGGGTTTAGGACTGCGCGGAAGGAACTTTGCATAACCCCAAGGGTCCATGTACCCCCTCAACCCTAAACCCTAAACCCTATACCTTGTTATTATGTACTTGGGCCCTAAGGTCCCGGAGTAGGAGGTACTTGAAGGCCCAATATACTCCCGATTTAGGTACATGGGCCCTTCGGGTAAGTGACCAGAAGCATGTCGTACTATCTGCTATATACGAGTTAGGCTTGGGGATTTCGGGTTCAATTGTTCGACCTTTGTTATAGTAGCCTAGTTTGCTTGTCCTAAATCCTAACCTCTAACACTAAACCCTAAACCCTAAACCCTAAATCCTAAACCCTAAACCCTAAACCCTAAACCCCCTCAATCCTTGTCTAAGTCTAAGGTTCTTAGCAGTGACCATGCAGTGACCAGGTACAGCGACTGCTCCGCAGTCGTCTCGGACCGCCTCAGCAATACTGGCAACGACATACATGTCCTGAGCCTCGGGGGCGAAGTGCACCCACAAAAGGGGGTTTAGGGTTTAAGGTTTAGGGTTTAGGGTTTAGGGTTTAGGTTTAGATTTAGGGTCTAGAGTCTAGGGTTTCGGGTTTAAGTTTAGGGTTTAGGATTTAGGGCTGATGGTTTCGTGTGCTCTGGCGCAGAAGCGGTGAAGGTTAGGATGCAGACTAGCCTTGAGCAAGGCCCGATTGTGGCGGGCCATCCGCACTGTTGTCTACGCCTCCTAAACCCTAAACCCTTAACCCTTAACCCTTAACCCTTAAAGCCTAAACCCTAAACCAACTCAATCGTTTGGAGCCGGAGTTCACCAGACTAAGAGAAACAACCAAGCGTCGAGGGTGGTGTGGGCACGAGGCTTCAGAGACAGTTAACCCTAATCCCTAAACCCTAAGCCCTAAACCCTAAACCCTAAACCCTAAACCCTAAACCCTGGGCTTCAGAGACACCTACACCGTAGCCTACACCTTAGACCTTAAGCCCTAAGCTGTAGCCTGATGAAATCGTTGGGCCTAAGCCCTAAACCTTAAACTTGGTAGGTCAGTGGTACCCTTTGCCTTTGTTTTTTGGGGTTCAAGGTTCCTTTTCAGAGTCACCAACCCCAAAATAGGTGCCCTTCATGTAATATGGTTTTCAGGCTACCAAGTAACTTAAACCTTAAACCCCTCAACCCCAAATCCCCCGAAACCCTAAACCCTAAACCCTAAACCCTAAACCCTAAACCCTAAACCCTAAACCCTAAACCCTAAACCCTAAACCCTAAACCCTAAACCCTAAACCACCCTTTCAGCCCCCAGCTCGGCTTAGCAAGGAACGCACTGAGCGAAAGCAAAAACTGGTGCGACGACATCGCCAACATGACGGCGTTGCGGATCTTGAACGAGGCTTAGGGTTTGGGGTTTAGGGTTTAGGGTTTAGGGTTTAGGGTCTTGGTAAGAGCCCAAAACGCTCTCGATAATTCCAAAATAGGGGGGGTACCCTCAACAAACCCCATAACTTAACACTTTGCACTTTTTGGGATACTATAATCGCCTATAGAACTGAAGGTGTACACTTTCTTGGGGCTTATGAACTCAGCAACTAAGTAATCATTCTTATAGGAACCCCCCAAAAAGGGCACCCCTGTTTTCGGAAACCCCCTCATTTTCTGGCACGGTCAAGACTTATGATAAGAAAGGTTCAAAGGTCCACCAGAGTCTGAGACATTTCTTAACTAGGCAGGTTTGTTCAGGCAGGTTTGTTCAGAAAGGAAGATTTGAGGTGAAAGTCTTGAAAACATTTTCTTATTCAAGGTTTATGGGTTTAGGGTTTAGGGTTTTAGGGACATTTGCTTGTACTTATATTCCCCCCCCCACCCCCCTGACCAACCCTTCCGAGCCCTCCAGCACTCCAGCCCGCCAGATTTCCAGCCCTCCAGCCCAACCAGCCCTCAAGCCCTCCAACCCTCCAACCCAACAACCCTCCAACCCTCCAACCTTCCAACCCTCCATCTCGAAAAGGGCTGGAGGGCTGGAGGGCTGGAGGGCTGGAGGGCTACTGGAGGCCGGAGGGCTACTAGAGGCTGGAGGGCTGGAGGGAGTTTCATAATAGGTTGTTGTTTGGGTAATTACGCTTGGGTTGCGATTCAGACCCTGATAATATGTTTTCCAATTCGAGAGTCTAATTTCTTGCTTCATAAAAATTCTTAGCACAAAGTTCCACCGTAGGTTACCCGAGAATTCTATAAGGGGTGTTGTAGGCATAACCTAGAACAAAGCAGGCTGTGGGCTCTGAATTCCTGAGCCCCAACCCACAGTTTCAGGTTTTGTGCTTAACTTTCGGAGTTTTCGTTTCCCTAAACCCAAAACCCCAAACCGTCCCTAAACCCGAAACCCTACAAACATTAAAGCGTCCCCGCCCCCCTCCTCCCCCCCAATATGCCAACCCGAAACCCGAAACCCGAAACCCGAAACCCTAAACCCTAAACCCTAAACCCAAAAAACCGCCCTAAACCTTAACAGGAGGTCACCGCCTCGAAGCCGTAAGCGCCACCATCAGGTCTCGGCCTCCATGGCCATTGCCCTCCAGCCAATCATGCGCCCGCACTTGAAACAAGTTTTAGTTCTTTTAGGGTTTAGGGTTTAGGGTTTAGGGTTTAGGGTTTAGGGTTAGGGTTTGCTGTGATAGGGCGTAGAGGCTGTGAAGGTTAGGCTTTGGAACAAGCTCGAAAGCTTTTTGAGGCGCGACGAGCAGCTTTGGCCCGATTGTGGAAGGCCATCTAACACTTTTCTCCCACTCCACGCCGTCCGAGGCGGCAAAGCCACCCAAACCTATTCCTTTTAGGGTTTAAGGCCTAGACTCAAGGCAACAGTCCACTTCTAAAAACTTCTTCCGTTTCAGGGCGTTTCGTGTCAGGGGGTTGTAAGAGGGTTCCTGGGCAAGAACACCTGGTCTGAAGGGTGCCAGCGCCCCAGCAAGATTTTTTTGGGTTGAGAGCAGTTTTTGAGCACCCGCCCTGCCTGAGCCCCCTGGTCCCCGACACGTCTGCAGCGAGGGCTCCGGGACCCCTAAAAAGGCAGAGGATCATAATTGCCTTATAAGGCAGGGACCAGTACTGGGCCCGACAAGAACGGGCTCCGGTACCGGGCCCCAGGTGGGTCTGCCGTCCTCCTAGCTGTGGGAGGCGGGCGAACGACCTGGGTCGGCTTGCGCCATCGAGGTCGAGGGGCTTATTAAGCCTTGAGTTAGGGTTTAGGGTTTAGGGTTCAGGGTTGTTTAGGGTTTTTTTCAGGGTTTTGTGGGGTTTTTTAAGGTTTTTTAGGGTTTAGGGTTTAGGGTTTAGGGTTTAGGGTTTAGGGGTACTAGCCAAGCCCGAAGTTCTTCAAGGGGCCCTCCCTTTCAGCGGCGAAGGTACCTGCAACGCTACATCCCCGGCATGGAGGATGCTGAAGTGCAAGTCCTTCCAGCTGTGGAGTACCTTGACGACCCTAGACCCTAAAGCCCTCCTTCCAGCTGTAGAGTACCTTGGGGACCCTAGACCCTAAAGCCCTCCTTCCAGTTGTAGAGTAATTACATTGGGGACCCTAGACCCTAAAGCCCTGAAACTCTCAGGTTTAGGGTTTATTAGGGCCAGACCCTCAGCCCAGGAAGATTGAGGGTCCATCTGTCTTCCCATGCTACTGTAGACCCTAAACACTCAAGGTACGTTACCGTTGGCCCCTACGCTGCGGTCACCCAGGACCTCAAAGATGGTGACGAGGGCATGATTGGCAGTGGGTTTATAGAAGTTGTTTGCTACAATCATTAAGAACCGCCCAAAAACAGGTTTTTGGGACCAAAGGCCCCGTATTCAATTTACTCGACGGCATACCATGTCTGGATTTGTCCAAACAAACCTGGCACTGCACAAAGATCCGCCTCCCAAAAACGCCCTCCGCAAACGAATGCAAACCCTAAACCCTAAACTCTAAACCCTAAACCCTAAACCCTAAAGTTTACTAAGTATCCCCAGATTCCCTTTAACAATCCAACCTACGCCAAAAAGGGGCTTCCAAGTAACCCTAAACCCTAAACCCTAAACCCTAAACCCTAAACCTAAACCCTAAACCCTAAACCCTAAACCTAAACCCTAAACCTTCAGCAGCAGAATCGAAGGTGCTGCTGACATTGTTGACTGGCAGTGGACCGTCAATGAGACCGGCACACTGGGACCTGGCAACATCACCTTGGCAAGTGCATGGACTGGCAACGTCATCGACTACTTCAGGCTGCTCTCTTGGCCGCACTGCTTGGGGTAAACCCTCAACCCTGAACCTTAAACCCCTGTTTAGGGTTTAGGGATTTCGAGTTGAGGGATTTCGAATTGAGGGAATCAGTGTGTAAGCAGGACGGTATGGCTGCCCCAGCCCAAACCCCTAACATACCGTCCGGAGAAGTCCTACCCTTGCAGTCTAATCCACTGTTTATAAGGAACCCCCCGAAAAAAAACAGGTATCCTAATGTTGGGAAATCCCCATATTGTTGCTCCCCCCCCCCCCCCAAAGTTGTAGGGATTGAGGTGACAAAAGCCCTAAACCCTACACCCCAAACCCTAAATATTCCCCATTAATCTGAAACGTGGGCTCTTGGGTCTCGGGGCGACAGGGCTGGCGTTTTGAGGTGCAACTCTAACGGTTTAGGGTTTAGGGTTTAGGGTTCTGGGCTCTCAAAGTTTTGGGGTTGAAGGTTTAGGGTTTAGGGTTTAGGGTTCAGGACTTTTGGGGTTTTAAGTGTTGGGGTTGAAGGGTTTAGGGTTGCAACGAAGCATCAGTTGCCCAGGTCTTACGAAAGCGGAGGCGATGAGACCGGCGGAACATCGCATGCAGAAACTGGGTACACAGAAATGGATTCGGTGTTTCCAGAGAGAGACTAGGCCCTTGGGATATGTTAAGTTTTCCCTTCTTGGGTCCCTGTGTAAGAGGATCATATCTAGGACTACTCATTCAGAGACCTAAACCCCAGACCCTAAACCCTAAACCCGTATAATGGCCATCCTAGGATACATCCACACCATCCAACTGCATTTCGAAGATGTGGTCGACACCTCTGTCAAAAGGGGGGGTGCCGAGATCGTGAACATGAAGTTGTTCTTCTCCGATGGCTACAGTACTGGGAATTATTGCCCTAAACCCTTAACCTTAAACCCTGGTTCACCTGGTAGCCCAGTGGTAACCTTTTGCCCTTTTTTTGGTTGTAGGTCCCCTTATAAAGTAACCCACAACAGAAAGCGAACCCTTATTAGAATACGGTTGCCGGGCAACGAAGGCTACAATACTGGGACTTCTTATGGGTGCTTCAACAGAGACGACCTTCCCTATCCAGATTGTACGGAAACCCGGACATGCTGCCCCATATTGCCTGGCCCCTACACCGCCACTGTCACAGTCTCACAGGACCCCTCGTACAAGCTGGTTGGTGCAGCGTTGGGATCTGTCTACAATTCCGGCCACCACTACTTCGGCTACATCAATGCCACTTTCCAGTATGCGAAGTCGTCTCTATGGAGCAAGGTGAACAAAACCTTCTCCCACAACAATCTGACCACAGGCCAGCGCCTGAAAGCAAATGAGGCACTGTGGAGCTACAATGGCCTCAACAAGCTTCTCCTATCACAGCACGGCAACCTTGCCATTTACGACATGTACGATGCCGTCACATGGCAGACAAGAACCACCTGTGATGACAAAGATGGGGCGTTCCTCCTTTTGCAGCCCGATGGAAATTTGGTGCTCTACTGCGGGGACACTACGAACGCGCTTTGGGCCTCCAACACAGATGTGGTGAGCATGGAGGTCGGAATATGCCAGGTGGCGGCAATAGAAAACACCGGCGCGTTGACCATCTACCGCATTCCAGACCTGGCTGGGGTGTGGACCAGTAGTGGTCCAATTCCCGTGGGTTCCCCGATAGCCTTTAACTTAACTTTAAAACTTTTTGGGTATACTAAACCCCCTACTAAAAAAGAAGAGCTTAAACTTTTTTGGGCCAGGGTATTGGGCAACTAAGTTGGGTACTTGTTGTCTTCCCCATATTGGGTTTAAGAGCAAGTCCCATCTAGGAGTTTGGTTTCTCAAGCCCAAGCCCGAAGCGCCAAACCTACGATTTGCTTAAGAACGCCCCAAATTAAGAAAGATAAGAAGCCCCTGTACTACCTTTTCTGAGGGAGATGTTGTTGAAGGGTGGGGTTCTTAAGCAAATGCTAGAAACCCACTATGGGGTTCAACCTAAATCCTAAACCCTGAACCCTAAACCCTAAACCCTATCGACCCTAAACCCTGAACCCTAGGTTTTGGGGCAAACAATCTGACAAGTCCGCGGAGCCTCAGACCAGGGCAACGCTTGGTCCAGAGCCTTGGTGGCCACCTATTATAGGGGGTCGGAATAATGACTACCCTAAACTAAACCTAAACCCTAAACCCTTATGGTCCCTTTATAAATATACCATGATAACCCCCAAAACCCTGTTCTAACCCTAAACCCTAAACCCAAAAACCCTAAAACTACTAAGCCCCCTATATTAGAGATTTTTCAGAGGGAACCGCCCTTCGGGTTCAGGGTTTAGGGTTTAGGATTTTGGGTTTGGGGTTCTTAGGGGTTTAGGGGTTTAGGGGGTTTAGGGGTTTTGGGGGTTTGGGAGTTTAGGGGTTTAGGGGTTTAGGGGTTTTGGGGTTTAGGGGTTTAGGGGTTTTGGGGTTTAGGGGTTTAGGGGTTAGGGTTTACGGAACCAACCCATTAGGTTAAAGCCAGGGTTTAGAACTTCAGGGCGTGTAAAAATGTTTAGTGGGGCATTGCGGCTCCTTTTTTTTGTTCTTGCATGTTTCTTGAGGGCCTGAGCGATGATTTCTAAGGCCCCAAACCCTAAACCCTAATGGGGGATTACGGAATAGTAGAACTCCCTTATAGTAAGGACCCCAATAAGGTACCGCGCATTCAGAAACCCCCACATAGTTCCAGGAGGTTCTGAACAGATCAACCCTAAACCCTAAACCCTAGACCCTAGACACTAGACCTTAAAACCCTAAACCGAGGAGAACTTTCTACCAGTTCGACCTGTCATTCTCGGACGGGGCGGTGGAGTTGAAGGACTCGAGAGCTTAGGGTTGAAGGTTCAGGGTTTAGGGAGGGTTTAGGGCTTGTAGGAATTTGGGACCCAAACCCAATACAATTTCTCCAAAAAACCCTAAACCCCTAAACCTAAACCCTCCTTTTTTTTGGGGGGGCCTGCCTTTTTAGGCCGTTTTTGGGGCTCCCGCCTCTGAAACCTTTTCGGGCTTTTTCTAGAAACCTGTGGGTGTTGGATGCTTTGTGTGGCCTTGTGGGTGGCCTCCCTAGGCCACCCGAGATTTTTGGGGTTTAGGGTTTAGGGTTTGGGGTTTAGTTTAGGGTCTAGTGGAAAAGGGTTTAGGGTTTAGGGTTTAGGGTTTAGGGTTTAGGGTTTAGGGTTTAGGGTTTAGGGTTTAGGGTTTAGACTTTTGGGGGGGCCTCCTGAGTGTATTTGAGTCTGCGAAGCCACTTGTCCTGCCGGGACGGAGCTGCTCTTGCTGTGGTGCCAACTTGTTGAGACCAGGACTTGGGAAATTCAGCATGATACTCTAGGATGCCCAGTAGTACCCTTATTCCCTTTTTGGGGGGTTTAGGTTCCCTTATAAACCCCTTTAAGCAAAAAAGGGCACCCTTTTTAAGCCTAGGTTACTGGGCAGCCTAGATACTATAAGTCTGCATACTGGGGCTTTGTGAAGTGCCAGCTTGTTTAGACAATCCACTTGGAAAATTCAGAATGAGAGTCGCCACATACAATTTGTGTCTGTTTTGTGTTGAGGGTCTATCTATAGGGTTGAGGGTTTAGGGTAGGCTTCAGGCTTTGTAGGGTTTGGGGTTTCGGGTAGCGGGTCCAGGTTTCTGGTTTCTGGGCGTAGGACTTGGGACTTAGAGAGCTTTTGGCAAGGACCTCTCCATTCCTTTTGCAAAGCGGTTGGTTTTGGGACCGTAAGTTGGGTTTAGGGTTTAGGGTTTCGTGTTTAGGGTTTAGGCTAGCTATATTAGTTGCGCGCAAAAGGGTCCACAAGTATTTAACGTTGTTCAAGAAGGTCTCTGTGAAGAGTTGAGAAATCCTGACTCCTCAGCCCTAAACATTGAAGGACTGGTCCCATGGTCGCATGCTTTGGGCCACGAGTGCCTCGTGCACGGCTTCCCAAGACCCCGAGCTAAAGATGCAGAGCGACGGGAATCTTGTACCTGGGGACTGTGCTAGGTATCCTGTTTCTGCTACTTTAGGCATCGTAGTCGTAGTGCAAAGGAAACTACCCTGAGCCCTGAACCTTGTACAAAGGTCCTCTATTGCTCAGGGGTAGCAACCTGGGACACGGGGACAGCAGACGCATCCTTAGAGACGCAAGCTGGCGTAAACACCCTCCTGCTGCTGGAAAACGGCAACCTCGCGATCGTCAACAAGCAGCAACAACTCACCTGGTCCTCCAACAGCAAGATCGCTTATGATTACTTCGCTGATGATTATGGCATCTACGATCACCAGGATTCAGACTAAGGGTTTAGGGTTAGGGTTTAGGGTTTAGAGTTTAGGGTTTAGGCGGTTTAGGCTGTTTGGGGTTTAGGGTTTAGGGTTTAGGGTTTCGGGTTTAGGGTTTAGGGTTTAGGCCAGGATCGCACTGGAGGCATGCTGATTTGCTTTGCACTGTCTCGACTTCGATGCGCGGCGGCATAAGTCCCTGCCATCATATCCTCATTGGATGATGTTTAGGGTTGAGGGTTGAGGGTTTGGGGGTGCTTCCTTGTCATGGACACCTGCAGCAGAATATGTTGGCTTGGAAAACTGGAATGATGTTCCATTGTTCTTAAGATCAAGATAAATATTTTTGTGAGGCACAGCGAAATGAATCGTTTGGTTGAGCGTTGCGTGGCGGGTAACTTAAAGCACGAGTCTTTGGGATTCGAAATATGCGAGGATTATCTCAATGGGGAATATTTGGTCATAGATATATCCCCATAAAAGGCTACGGGCTCGACCCCTATTTTCGCTCTGCGGCCGCCTTGTCGGATGCCCCGCCTCCTCCTCTTCCGGTCAATTTGGCTGCTTGTGGGGCTCTTGTAGGGGGATCCGGAAAACTCCGGGAATTTTCAGGATTATTCTAGAAAAAACCCTAGGAATTTTGGGAATCCCCCGGGTTCAGGGTTTACGGGTTTTACGGTTTAGGGTTTCGGGGTTCAATAGAAATTGTATAGTGTTTGTGTCCGGAGTTTTGCCGTGTTTTGGGGGGTGGGTGGTTTTGGGGTGGGGCTGCTTAGGGAGGTTATTGAGCGGTCGCTGAGGGGTTGTTGCGGGTTACTGAGGAATTGAGGGCTGAGAATTCTTGCATTTTATGGGGTTTTGAGGGGTTATTGGGGGGGGGCTTGGAGTCGGGGTTGACATTGGAACCGATATATTTCTATAATTCCCCAAAATCTTTGGATCCATTACTTCAATAAAAAG